TTACTTTACTCTTTCCTATAGCTATTATTAACACTTATTGCTATTATCAAATCTTACATTTTGCTTTATTCAAATATAACATAACTATCTTTTCACTTGATATCATTTAGCTATTTATTATTAATAGGATTATTATAAAAGTGATAAAAGGAAAAAAAAAAATAAACCGCTTGGTGATCGTGCCATAAAACGCGGTTGATGAAGAGAGATGCGATCACAACGATTGCGGAATGATCGGCGGAGTCTGTAAAGCATATAATGAATGGGATAAAATAAGATTTAAGTGGACAACCCCTGACTGGTGGTCGTGTTTGTGGATCGTATTCCGAGAGGATTCTCGACAGCACTTGTCCTTCAAGACCAATTTGGCGTGATCGTAAAATTTTCGGTGATTGTCCACGTACTAATATCGTTATACCAATGCTGAAATTTACGTAATAAACAAAATAAATAAGTAAAAACAATTAAGTAAATTTATTTTGTTTCATTGATTTTCCCTTAATAATTGATAATATATTTTTAAAAAAATAAAGATTAAATATATTTATCTGATTTGTCTTTTCGAATTTTAACGTCGTTTCAAATTTATCAATATAATGTTACGTTTGCAAGCTTATCAGTACTGATAAGCTACGGATTTATTAATGCTATATCTTCAACTTAATTTGCAAATAAAACGATGAAATTTTAAACAGAAAAAATTGCTGAAACTTAAAAATCGATATTCAAATTTTTAATTTTAGAATATCTCAAAGGTATCTATCCATTTCTTACTCCTTCCAATTTTCCTTCTCATCCTTTTTCACTCTATTATCATTTCTTCATTTTACTTCAAATATTTTCATTCGTTGTAAATTCAACAAATGGACACTATGCAAAATGTAACGTAGAGAGAAATTTTTTGAAGAAAGAATTAATAAAATTTCATTCAAAAAAGTTGAATTGAATGGATTAGACGAAAGTTCGAAATTATGATAATACTATGAGTTAATGCTATCTTTCTTCAATTTCCTATAATTTCATTATCGTTTTTCCTTTCTTTTCCCACTTATTACATTTCACATTTTATTCATTTCTCAAAATTCGCTTTAAAAACTAAGAAACTAAACTTCTGAGATTTCATTTATCTTATTTTATTTTATTTTTTCAATTTGTAATTCATTTTCCTGCTATCTCATCATTATCATCATCATCATCATCATCATCATCATCATCATATCTGTTATGTCAAAAAAATTGAATCATTTTTTTTGCAAGTTTCAGATACCAAACAATTGAAGATCAGTTTTGCAATCGAAAATGTGGAAAGTTCTAGGAAAAAATTTTGCTTTCTTTGAGATTTCATTTATTACAACTTTATTGCAACATATTTCTTCCATAACAATTCCTTATCAAGTTATCAATAGATATCTATTGATTTCTCAATGCGGAAAATTCTTCATTAATGATGAGAAATTTTCGTAATCAACGATAACTATAAAAAAAATTCAAATTCATTAAGAATTTTAAAAAGAAAGAAAGCTAATTGAAAACTAAAAAAGTTCTAATGTAAATTTAAGATAGCATAATCAGATGGTATCATTTCAAATTATCATCCTTATTTGCTAATGATATACTCTTGCAAGTTGATTGTTGACAATAGTTCGGAAAAATTTTATTTACTTTTCCTATTTCATTTTCCTTTTGTCTCTTTTTTCACTTTATATTTCTTTAATGGGAGTTACAACATTTGATAGAATAACAAATATCTGATTGGTAAGTTTTAGAGAAAATCAAAAACAGTTGAAATATTTGGATGCATTGCATATTTTAAACTTTTTACAGATTATATAAGTAGCAAATTCTGATAAGTAGAAAATTTTGATAAGATTCTTCAGTAGTGATAACGATAATACGAAAAGTGATTATTTTAAAATATATGCTAAATGGGTTAGTGTTTTGTGTTGTAAAAAAATATTTATATTTTTCATATGATTACTGCTTTTGGGAGAGAATTAAAGATTCAATTAATAGATTGGCAAATATAAGATTATGTGAAGCATTCTTAAATATCTAACAAAAATTGTTACAAACAAATTTAAAAAATCATTTTTAATTAAATTTAAAATTTACAAAATGTAAAAATTAGACAATATTCTATTAATGAAATTGTTTTAGTAAAACAAAAACTTATTGAAAATTTAAAAATGTTCAAAAATATCAGAAATGCTAAATGAATAATTTCTATATTCAAATATTTTACAAAAATGTATCGTATCACAAATGAATTGAATAAAAATTAATATTATTTGTTAATTGTATTATAATCATACCTGTAATTCTAATAAATTGCTTGTCGAGAAAGAAAGAGATGGTTTGTCAGGAAAAGATTGAAAACAAAAAAGCTAAAGAAATGGCTGTAAACAGACAAAAACTTTTTAATGATAAATGAGAAAAATTTGAAATGAATGGATAAAGAATTCAAAATTTATGAAAATAAAATAAAAATAGAAGAGAAAATACAAAATACATTTATTGCAATAGAATTGTGAAATATTATAATAATAATACATACCTTAAATATTACCCGAGATATTCCGTTAATAAATTCAGTTATAGAAATGTTATTTGTTTAAGATGAATGAGAGAAGATTAAACTTCTGAAATTTGAATATTTAAAGAAGTATGAAATGTTGTTAGTAGAGGAAGTGATAGAAACTGATCGAAGAATGGATAATTATATATGCACATAATTTATATTCTTATCATTTTAAATCTTTAATTAAAAAAAACAAAGGAAACGCAGTAATTTTTGCATTGCATAATTTCATTGTTTTATATTGAAATGCAACTGTCAAAATAAATTATCCATTTCTTTTCTCTTTATTATAAATTAATTAAGGGAATAATGTAAGACAAAAATGAAATTTAGCAGAAATTTAATTTGAATTCAAAATGATTCGGCAAAGTGGAAGCAATTCGAAATGTCAATAATGCATTTAGTCCGACTGACTGCTAACGAACGATTATTCAAGACGTTTTCCGAAGGAGACCTAAGGATAAGAAACGTAATGATTGACTTATCGAAAATTGACAATGATCAATTCAGACAGTCATCGAAGCTAGAAGAATTATTTTAGGATTAGCTATACGTAAAGTTGCCGAAGAATTCAACGTTTAGCCATTCAACGGTTATTTCAATATTTAAAGCAAATTAGAAAGATGTAAATGCTCAATAAATAAGTTCACCAATAATCAAAAAAATAGCGCTTTAAATTGTCATTATCATTTATTGTACGCTGAAACAACGAATCATTTCTCGATTCAGCTGTCAGATGGAAGAAAACCTGGTAAGAACACCTAAATGGTTTAGTTCCAAAAGATAAAATAATATCCAATTAATGTTGCAATCTATTAATACTAAGCTTTTTTGAATCATCAAAATAATTATATCAAAGTTTTGTTTTTCAAACGAATCGATTTGATAAACATAGAGGATTCATTTTCTATTTTCTATAATAATGTTTTTGAAAATTGAACGAATTAAACTAATCAAAGTTTGCTACTCATATCATTTATATTTATTTAATCTTTCGCTCAATACTTTTTCAATCATCTTAGCAACATTATGCAAAGAAAATAAAATACCTTCCACAATTAATAGAAAATATGAATTAATTACAGTTAATCGAAATATGAATTTCTCCTATGTTATATATATATATATCAGTAAGTAAATTAAATTCTTGTTTAAAAAAAAAATGTAAATTTATTGCCAGTATTCCTAATAAAGCTAACTATAATTTTTAGTCTAACTTAGAGCTAATGATAGACATTTAATAAATTTACAATTCGAAATTGTTTATTTTTTATTTTCTATCCAATCAATATATTTCTTATTTATTAATAATTTAAAATATTTTACCTGATGAGCAATGAAATCCAGAAAAATCGTGATGCAATCATTGGATAATAATATAGCAAAACTTTTATTTGTCAATAATAATAACCGTAATAATAATAATAATAATAATAATAGTAAATATAAATACTAATTGATGCTGTTGATAATACAATCTGTGAATAGAAGATAATAATAGAAATCGAAATAGTAATAGACACCAGCTAAACAACTGCTTCGAAGTATGAAAGTTTTGCCTTCAATTTCTTAGCTCAACAGCTTAATGGTATTGAGAGAGGAAGCGATAAGATAGAATTGAGAATAATTTTTGCTTTAGCGCAATTGTAATTTATCCAGGCGAAAAAATTTCTCTTTTTCAAATTGTTAAAAAGACGAAAGCAAAATTCGATTCTAATAAAATCTTATATTTTCATCATTTTGTAAAAAAGAACAAGAAAAAAAGAGATAAATATATGAAGAGGAGGAAAAGGAGGATGAAGGAATGATATGATATGATATGATATGATGTAGGATGAGAATGATAAAAATTTCTCTTTCTCTCTTTATCTCTTCTTTGTTTTTCTTCTCTTTTACATTTTCGAAATTTTACAAAAAAGAAAGAAAACAAACATATGTTATCATTTTCGAGAGTAAAAGTTGCTTGACTTCCTATAAACTTCATCATTCGTATTTCCGTACTTTACATCCAACGATATTGCTTTAACATTTTTATTTTGTTACACTTTTTCAACAAATTTTCTAATTTATTCTATTAATTTTTTATTACTTATATTTTGTACACACACACACAGACACAGACACACACACACACACACACATACACACTTCCTCCTCAAATAATGTGTAATAGAAATTGTTGTTCTATTTTTTTTGCAAACGAAATTTGTAAGTGATTAGTTTAAGATTTGTTGAACAATGAATAATTATTACACTTGATTTTATTTTAATTTAGAAAATGAATAATAAAGAAAGTTGAAGTTGAAATGATAGCGGAAGATGAATAAGGCATTCTTAAAAGTGATAAAATAAAAGAAGGCATTTATAAAAGTGATAAATAAGCGGGGGGGGGGGAGAGGAATTTATAAAGGTGATAATTAAAAGAATTAAAAATAAAAAAAGCTTATGAAGAAGAAATTTTAATTGAGTAAGAGATTAAAAAAGAACGAAGAAAATAACATAGGAATAGATGGATAATTTAATACAGTAAAAGATAGTTCATAAAATCATTCGTACACTTTTACCACAAATTACAACGATTGTCGTAATAACAAAGTTGACAGGTAGAAGAAAGGAAAAAAAAAAACGAAAGATTACATAGAGCAAATTTAAGTGATCGAGTGATAGAGAGAAATAGAAAGAATGAGGAAGATAATTAATAGGAAAAAAGGGAAAAGAAAGAATGAAGAATAAAAAGATGGAAATGAATTGATGATATTGATGACAAAAATATTGTAATAATTGAAAGTACTTTTCAATAAATTTCAAATGTTTAGATAAATTGTTGAAATACTAGAAAGAAAAAAAATGAAGAATGAAAAGAATTTAATAACGATGGTTGATAATTGGTAATATTGATGACCAATGAATAAATGATAAGAATGATAATTTTAATTAGCATGCATAAACTATTTAAAACAATGAAACTAGAAAAAATTATTGTTCTAATTTAAAAAAAAAAAATAATGTTAATTCCAAAAAGAAGAAAGAAAACTAAAATTTCAAAGATTGAAACAATAAAATGAAACATATCATGATGGATTATCACATTAATTGATAATAGGACAAAATGAAAATGGAGTAATTGGTTGAAACGATTCTCCGATAAGTCTCTTAGATTTTACTGTCAAATGAAATAACGACTAATTCATTCATTGCTATCCAATTTTCCATTGTTTAGTAATAGTACGGAACTTCCAAGAATTAACTTTCCAATCAAATTTTTAATCAAAAACAAGTTCATTTGTGTCCTTCAAGTCTCGGTTACACTAAAAAATTACTTGGCGTCGCACATATATGAAAAAATACGATACCAAAAGAGAAAATCTTAAAAATGAAATGGGAAGCTTATTTTTTCCGATAAATGAAAATTTTTTCCGTTTTACACATCGATCATAAATTATTGATGATCTCAATTTTGAATCCGGAAAATAAATCAACGAATAAGAGAATATCCCAGGATTCAAATGAAAAAAAAAACTGTATTTGCACAGATTAACTTCACAAATTTAATGCTTCGAAGTTTGCACAGGCATTTCAATGTTTAAGCTGTATTTATCATCCTATTCAATTGATTGAATTTTTCGATCCAGCATAACGTCTGTTTGTAGAATACAACAACAATTTGCACTCAAAACAACCTTTACCACATTTTTCAAATAAACAATTACCAATATCTTTTCAAAATAATGAACTATAAATTATATTAAATATCATAAATATGGAAGGAAAGACAAATCTGAAATTAAACTACCCACAAATTTATACTAAATATAATGGAACCATGTAATACAAAAAAATACACCATATTTAAATAAATTGAAACCGAAATAGATTAAACTGGAATTCTTTGCTAAAAATTATTATACATCAATTCATTATTTAAATATTTAATCTTTTGCAGCAGTCATCAACACTGTAAAATTTTTATTAAATTAGCAATATGGATAGATGTATTCGGTATATTCACCTATAATAACATCATAGCTTATCAGAATAATGATAAAACACATACACTCACGGAACCCTGCTCTCCCGAAATACAAATTATATCAAATATCACAGATGTATAAAGAAAAACAAATCTGAAATTAAATTACCCGCAAATTTATACTAAATAGAGTAGAACATGTAATACATAAAAATATTCTATATTTATATAAATTGAAATCGAAATAGATTAAACTGGAATTTTCTATTAAGTGATTATTATGTATCTCTTCATTACCCAAATATTTAACCTTTTGCAACAATTTAAAATGAAATTAAGCTTGACTAGCCGCCAATTGATTAAAAAAATTTCTGCACTGGCCATTTTTTGAAAATGATTAAGTTGACAAATCTCAATGATTAAGTTGAAACTACGCTTCTTGATGATAAAAAGTTCAGCAAACCACCAAAACTGCAGATAATAAATAAATAGCTTTTCAAATCAACATATAACTAATTATGTTTTGCTCTGTGGCCTGTTGCATAAGAAGCCCAGCGAGTAGCAGTTTCATTTAAGAACTCATCTTTTGTAATGATATAAAGCCATTTCAACAAATAAATATGCACGGAGTGATAATCCCAACGCGCTAAATTTGGTGCCGTTTTTAAGCCCAAATGTCTTAAATCATAAAAGGTTCCACTGCCGCTATCAAAAAGAGGTAGGAAAATTCGTAGACTTTCTAAACCAACAGAAAATAAAGTAATCGAATCGTTTTTACCATCTTGTAAATCAGAAACTTGTGCAAAGTCATATAACCCAATTAGCGAATACAGAAAACCATTAAGTACAAATGTGCCTGGTGTAGTTGGATACTCTTCAAACCACGGATGACCGAACAGTTCATTCAATACTCCACCCTTTGCAGCCTCCTATAAAGAAAATTCTATTTGGATATTCTAATTTTTGTAAGAAACTGAAACATGATGAGAAGAGAAAGCTAAAAAACTTATTACTCTTTAAATGGAAATAGCCATTAAAACTTAAAAGCTCTGTCCATTCTTTCTTGACTTTAAATACGTACTACAAGGACAATTTTGTGCTAACTGAAAAAATTTCAAATTTTATGCTAACTCATTCATAAAAAAGTATCAAAAAGAAATTTCCTTATCTACTTGAACATAAACACAAACCAAATCGAAATGTAATTTAGCACCTCATTAAAACCTTTTAATCAAACAATGGCCAGTAACAGTTAGAGAAGTTAACTCTTCTTTGTTAAGAATCTTTAGTAATAAAAACTCAATTAACTCACTGTTTTAAACAAGCGAAGTGCGCGCTTCGCGACTTGCAAATATTTCATATCATTTGTTATAACGTATGCTCGTGTAAGCACACTTAAAGCGTGCCCCTGAGCCATTGCACTATGCCAGCCTGCTGGTAAAATCAAGCGCTTATCAGCAATTGAGCTGTAAAGATATCTCAATCTTGGTGTTTTCATAGAAATTTTTGAGCTATCATCCAAAATTTGCAAGAGAATTGGAATTACTGAACTATATTTAATTTACATAGAAACAGACATAAAGCTTTTATTCTAAAACCTTAAAATTTACCGTTCAACAGGAACTGACCAACCGCCATGTTCATCTTGATTGCTAGTTAACCAGTCAGCTGCTACGAGAAAGTGTTCAAGATGTGCTGAAGATCGCTGCTTAAAATCTCGAATTACTGAACGTCCTCGAAAAATAATGAAATCCAGAACCACATCTCCTAAAAACTATTCATAACTTGGAATGAAAGAATAAATCTCTTCCAGTAGTTTTTTATTCAGAATGCTCTACAGCAGACAATTCAGAGAAACCCACTGCAATAATGTAAGCATTATCAACTAATAAGTCTAAAAAGTTTCAGAAGGAATGAAATTGAACTCTAATATAGATTTGCAAAAATATTTCCTGTCCACTACGTTATATTTCATTACAGTTTCAGTAAAGTTTCATAAATTTATTTTATCTAAGCTAATCTTTATCTACTAGTCTGCTACTATCACATATCAGAAAAAATAATAAAATGCCTGGATGCAAAAGAACGATTTCTTTTTTGCTTGAGGTTGACATAAGCGCACGACCGGCATCAACCAATAAATCACGACAAATCCACCGCCATTCATTTGGATTTGGTTTTGCACCCAATGAATAATTATAATCAGTCTGAAAATTCGCTTAGTGATCTTATACAATAACCACCAGTTTATCATTCGAAATATAACATATAATAATTATGTCATAATTAATTAATGGGTCCCAAAAATCCGACATATCATCCTTCTTTAAAAAAGCATGAAAAAAATTTTTTTTTTACAATAACTATATGTGATGAAAAGTCTGAATGGTAAAGCTCCTGAGGTTTTGAAAAGATATTTCTTTAATATTTCGATATATATACGTAAAACAAACTTTGCTCGTTTTCTTGTCATGAGAAACACACTGTTCATCATCGTTATGGACATAGTGCAGCTGTATAATTTTCTGACTCTGTAAAGACGAGATATGATAAAACAAACCAAAAAAAAAGACGTTTCGTCATCTCCAAGCAAATACTATCTGCTGCTCGATGTAACCAAAGAAATATTGTGAATGTTATGAATACAATTCAAAAATTTAAAGCCAAAAATTGATATTCAGATAAAATTTTTCATATACAACTTTCTGAAAAAGAAAAATTGATCGTTACAAAAATAAGCTTTAAGCTGATCGTGAAGGAAGCATCCACATCAGCCAGCCAGAGAAAAGAGAGTACTGAAAATGCCGGATCTCCATCAAGTGGCAACGAAACACCTCGGTCTATAATCTCAAATGATTAAACTATCATTACAAATAGAAATTATATATAAAATCAATCAACTAGATAAAATAACGAACTTTCAACTGCAAGAATTAAGCACATCCTAAGCAGTGCACAGTAAAAAAGAACAAACATACCACCAGAGTTAATTTCGACCCTTGTGCAGTTGGCATCTTCATCAAAACTTAATTTGAAACCATCTCCTCCAAGCGTATTATCATCCCATTCTTCCGTTCTTGCGCCTTTTACAAATGCAATCGATGAGGCAGCTGGAAAATTGCTGAACTTATACAGAGCTAACATAATTCACAGTTAAGCTTACATTTCACAAATGCACACTTTTTGCCATGAAAATTCTGAAATATTCACCGATTTTGAATCGACTGTAATGCTGCAAAGCATACTGGGCGATTTGTATAGGGTAGAAATAAGGAACTGTTGACCACTGCGTTGACAGTGGTACACCTGAAACTCGTCACTATATAATGTAAAATAAAAATAGGTGTAAAAATTAAAAACCCAAAAACAAAGATAACAAGGTTCGCAAGTATTTTTTCATTTCTTCGTCCAAATGATTAAAAAACCAACCATATTGAGCACTAATGCAACGTACGCGATCTCTGGTTTCTACGCTGTATGATGCGAAATGACCAAAAGCTCCACGGTAGTCATAATTAACAAAATCTGGAAAACGAACCCGAGCATGTGATGTTGACCATTCGAAACGTCTTGCTACCGAATTGGATTCTGAAAAGTACTGATGGAGTAAGTTAAAAAAATATTAAATCTTTCCAGAATTCTTAACACAATACTGCTTCATTCTTGGTTTCTGCACCTAATCCTGTACCACTTTCTTAACTGTGAGATTTCCTTGTTTCACCACAATACTGGAAACATTGGCAAGAAATGATGTCCCGACCTTTGAAAATCTTCCCAGAAACGTCGAAATGTTTCCTAAGAAAAGCGTTAAATGGAAAATACACTTCATTTGTAAATTCTTCCTCATAACATTTATACGTCTTCTCGTTATCAATTACACAGGAAATTTCCTTCAAAGCCGAACTTCCGCTTTCAATTTCTTTGATCTGAAATCAAGTAAGAGATATGAAATAGATGATATCATAAAAAAAATGGATTTTATAAAGAGGCATCCTATTCTTCACAAAAAAACATTAAAAGACCAAAAAAATAAAACAGTATACGAAGGTTAATTAAAAATGCAAAAAAATAAATAATAAATATGAAACGAAGCGTGAAATTTTTCAAATGAAATTTGTTGTTTTCACTACATTACTGATTTTGGCTACTGACTTTTAGCCTTCTACGACAAATGGTTCCCAGCAATTTTAATATATAAATGCCCAGGTATAACTTTTCTAAATATAAACTTCATGTATTTTAGACGATGGAAAAGAATTAAGAGAAATTTTCAAAATCCTTTAAATTTTCAGCAAATTTCAGCACTTCAATTTTCGGAGGATTTCGGAATTCCGTTCAAATAAATCAATTGATAATTAGAAGAAAACTTACTGCTACAGTGCAGCACGACTGCAAAGTTTCAGACGAAATAATCGTACGGGATGATCGTAGAATCCAAAGAGCTGAAAGTGCGGAAACTGCCAGTAGCGTGGTGATAATATGTCGTGATCTAAATCTTATCATAACAGCGGCACGTCAGCAACACCGTTAACGGCATGGATATCCTGAAGCCATCAGCTTACCCCATTTTCCTTGGAAATTTATTGCTGTTCTTAACTAAAAAATCATTCAGACGAAATAGAACTCAAATGGATACTTCACCCAGAATAAAAAAGTACATGACCTTAAATTATGATGAAAAAAAGTTGAAAATAAAGGTGAACAGAACATAAGCAAGTACGTCGATACTATTATCCGAGCACTCAATCAGCCACCTTAACACACAAAGCTACACAAAAACCATTATCCATAAGAATTAGCCAAAACTAAGGGATTTGAAAATCAAATAAATGCAATCAGTAAAACTTTCTCAATTCGAACATCATCCAATATGACAGAGAAGTTTGAAAAAAAATCGAAAATATTACAACATTCAACAACTTGTCAAACCGTAGCAATACTACATTGAAAATTGAACTTGAAAACTTATTTTTACTAATACAGCATCTACACAACATTTTTCCATAATGCATTCTCCTCATTGGTTATTTTTGGTGACCTTTGACCGCTGCTTTTAAGAAATTGAGTAAAAAAAGCAAAGCCAAAACTACCATCAAAGGAGTAGTTCAAGAAATAACGCAGAACCACAACGAAAACTTTTATCTTGTACATGGGAATTGAACCTTTGGTCATTCTCATAAAAACACACAAACGCATAAACGTAAGTTAATTAAGAAATTATTATATATGAAATGATAATATATCAATTAATGATAAAGATTTTTACCTTTATTAAATTCTTCGTTTATAGATTGTCAATGAAAAATTAATTGAATTTATGTCCGGAAAAGTATTGAACACGAACTGAAAAGAAATTGAATTTATGTATTGTAACAAAGTTGACATCTACACTTTCATCTTTCTCGATATGACAATTGAGATGAATGAGATAATTTATGCTATAAGGATTTTTATAATCTAGAATTGAAATTTACGCTATCGTTACTTCGGTGCAGATAAATGTTTCAGTTGAAAAATTACTGTACACATTTTTAAATGTGTTAGTTATTCTTTGTTTCATTTCAGCGGCTTATTCTTTACTTTTCATTCCAAATTTAAAATTTTCATTTTAATAATAAAATAAAATTGATAAGATTAGCATTGTAAATGATAATTACTAATAATATGTTGTATAACTTTTTTTAAAAATATATTGAAAGAATTAGGAAAAATTAATATAACACTTAAAATCCATTCAAAAATTTAATTTTCTAAATTTAGAATGAAAATTTCAAAAATTCCAAATTAAATTTAAAATAGGAAGTGAAGAATAAGCTACTAAAACGAAACCGAAAAACAACTAGCACATTTGAAAATGTATACAGTAACTATTTCAACCAAAATACTTAATCTGCACGGAGATAATGTAGTATTGTTGACAGTAATGATAATAGCATTGATAACAGTAATGATAGTAGCATTGTTGACAGTAGTGATAGTAGATTGCAGCATTGATATTATAAATTCCATCCATCTTAGAGTGTTGAGTGAAAGGAGAAGAATAGAAAGAATGTTAATATCTATGAAGTGATTCACAATTTAACCTTCAAAACTTTCCTTTCAAACAGTATTACAATCAAATGATCCTAATAGAAATAAGCAAAAAATAAATTAGGAGCAGTAATTTTTTTTGGTCATAAAATTTCAGTAAGAATTTAGGTTTGGATTTCAGTTAATTCAGATCCCTTATTTCAAGCAATAATGAGAAAGTGTTGTTATTGAAGAAGATATTTAAAAAGCGCAGTATTGATCGGAAACTTTGAGATAACTTAAAAAAACTACGACGATAAGCAACAATTATTTTTGATTAATTTGTTTGACTTCTTTCTTTTAATAATTCATTTAAAAGCTAATCAAATTGTTGTAAAAGCTAGTCAAACTCATCATTCTAGCAACAATATATATTACCATGGAAATTTTCAATTTATTACTCAAATAATTCAGTAAACAAAGTTGAAAATTTTCAGTGACATTTGAGACAGAAGATTTCACCGATTTATCAAAGCCAATTTAAATTATCATTAAACAAAATATCAATACAAATAAGACAACTGTTGCAGTGGTTTTTGAGTTGTTTGCTATTACTTCCTTTGATTAGATCTCTCTGATAAACTTTCGCTTTTGATAAGGGTTCAAATATGTGTAAATTTAGAAGATTAGCAGGACAATTCCGATATGCAAATTTAAAATTTATGATTTAATATTTAATAAAAACAGATTCCAAATATGATTCGCATTTTTAGAAAGTAATGATAATTTAAAATGTGAAAAAAATCTTGATGACAATGCTTCTGCAACCGACAAAATAATCAAATTTTGATTCTTTTTCAACCGAAAATTACCGTTAGATCAGATTAAAATTTGATTTCCTCAATAAACGGAAAATAGTTCTCTATCCTTAATTGATCGGATAAAAATTAAAAACGTGTCTTTTGCTGTTATTTTAAAAAGCGAGACTAGCTTGTAGATCATTGCAGTTGGAGTGATATATATATACATGTATGAACATTCGGACTTCAGATTTCGACGAAAGTTTGAATTAATACCAAGATTCTTTATCTGGCCTATTTTTGTACTGCTCAACTGGAGTGAAGTCTTTGAAAAAAAGACTGTTGTGCATCAGATAAGAATTCAATAATTTATTTCCATGAAAGTATGCATCAATTAGAACAATTTAAAGAATTATAATACAGTATAAAACGTGTCACATTGTTTCCGGATCTAAAATAAATCCTCTTACCTCAAACAGGAATTCATCGTTTGTCGTTGGAGAGGCAGGAGCAAGTGAACCTTGAAAATAATAAAATAGCCGGATATACCAGTGAAATAAACGACACACAATTTCAAAGGAGAGAAACCAGTGGTATGATGTCTACAATGGAATCCAGAACTACAATGTCCAGAAACTAAAATAATGTCCCGATTAATAATGCTATGAATAATCCAAAATCTAATCTTTAGCTGAATTTGAATTAATGTCATAACTATTGAAGTGAAAAATAGAAGTAGAAAAATCATCTTAAAAGTCAATTTCTATTATCAATTCTACAATCTTATCACAATCAAAATCAGTGCTATCTTCAAGTTTGAAGAAAATACCATTCTGCAGTTATGCTAGCATAAAAACTATCATCTGATAATCCTTTACTATTCAAATCTTCATTTTTCAGCACCGCTGATTTACCTAAAATCTCAAGTGATTTAGAAAGACATAGGCAGAGACGGAAAAAGTATTGTCAAAGAAAATATTAAACAGGTAACACAATAAAAAGAATTCGAAGAAATCGACAATATGAGCAACGTAAACTGATGGAATGTTAAGGGAATAATAATTATTAACCAAATTCGAAAAGATAAGAAAGTTTCATATTATATTTCTATTTATGCTTATTTTTCGTTTTTTCAATAAAGTACATTTATCATGTTAAATAATATCATATGCAAAAAGATACAATTTAAAAACAAAACAAAACCATCAAATAATGGTAATACTTTCCCGTGAAAACAAAAATGCCATTCGGATGAATCCAAAAATATCAAAATGTTTACTGGCTGAATGATCTAAGCAACCGCTTTTTCATAACTTTGCAACACTGAATTTCTTTTCTAAATTACGAAAAAATCAAGGAAAAAAACTGTGAAAGTTGAAGCGAAGGGATAACATATGAGGTATGCCAATAGGCAGTGAAACAAAAGTTGCTGTAAGCCATTCCCTTCTTTTCGCAAAATGTCCCATACATCGCTTATGAAGATTCAAGAAAATTTACCTTATTCTACTACATACGAATGAACGGTTAATTCCGTCTTTTTTAAAATTTATAACAATTTTAGCAGCACTTTCCTAATAAAATCGATTTCAAGACGATTCTTTCGTACGAAATACTTTTTCGTAATATTAGCTTTTCATAAAATTAATTTCTGCAAAGAACAACTTATAGATACAAACAGATATAATTAATCAGATTTCCAAAGCTTAAAAGATTTGGTAAATATAAAGCGACAACATGCAAATTCAATGGCAGTAATAATAATAAAATGGCATGAAAAGCGCTGCAATATTTGAAGTGAGGAATAAATAAAAGAAATTTTTAATCTCCCCTCGAAAATCATTCGGATCTTCGAAGACCATAGAACATTTATATTCTAATTGAAGAGATAAAGAGGTAAAGATGGGAAAAGTTCGCTCTTAAAATACTTTTTCTCTCAAATAAATTGAGGCAATCAAATATTCATAAAAATGCAGTACTTTGACGAACTATTCAAAGGATATGGAATTCTCATAACATCTAGAAATGCACAAGTTTGGACTGCAAAACAGCCTTTGACCCTTTCACATGAGAAGTGCTACTACCACTACCAGTATTGACATAACCCTTTTCATATGCCGGTGATGTTGACCTTGATCGCTGCCGCTGCTGTTGGAATTCCATCAAAGATGATGATGGTAGCACTATAGGCCGTCCCGCACTTGGCAAGCTTCGACTGGATGTATGTGGCACATTACGACGGTATAGCGGTGTTGATCTGCTTGAAATAATAGCAACTTCGCTAGAACCCTGAAACCGGTAGTTACAGATGAAGATGAACTGTAAATAAATAACTTCCAGTTTACTAGAAATAATTGATATTATATCAATTATAAGGAGTTAAAAGGAAGAAAATATAAACGGAAGTGAAAAAGGATATACGATACGATTAAAAAATAAATAGAAATTTCATAAAACATACTCGCTCTTTGTTGTCACCCTTAACAATTCGATCAGGACGTACGTAATGAGTACGCCAAGAACGTCGACGAACGATACCACCAGCCATTCGAGATGTTGGGGCAGTTACTGGTTGTGGTGCTGGAGGAAGTTGTCCAGATATATCAGCTAAAGATGGAGAGATTGCTCCTTCGTATGTTTTCTGCAAAATTACGAAACTTTTGGTGAAGTATGTTTTTGAATCTTTGGTGATGATAGTTGGAAATTTCGTAAAAACTAAAGAGAAATAATTAAGGTTAATTCTTTTTTAAATTCAACAACTACAAAATTAAGTTCATTTAACATATCTTATTTTTATATGATACTGACAAAGGTAATTTTTGAGTAACATTTACAAGGCACTCATTAATATTGTTTGGATTTCCCATACATCCGTCGAATGAACCCATTATTGAGTCATCAAACTGCGAACACGGTTGAAGCATGCTAGTAGAAGAAAGTACGGAGGTATTTGGCTGTGATGTACCACTATCTTTTGCTGACGGCGCAGGCAAAAGGAACCTAAAACGAAGTACTGATTTCACTTTCATTGAAAAAATGAAACTCTCGAAACTCCAGTCCATAAAAACTGGAGGAAGTCCATATTTCAGCTGACCGCGCACGGCATTACGTGAACTTTTTAAGAGATTCTTTGATGGAGTTCTCGACTTAATGTCAGCACATATTTTATGAAAACTGTATGACAAATTTCTAATTTAACTTCTAAATAATTAATTCAAGAATTTTATAAAAAAAGCGCTAACCACTCAGATCGGGTACGCATACGCCTTGTTTGTCTTTCATGTACCCATTCAAGATAGGTAAGTGAATGAGTACTTTCCAAAATTTCACTGCTATGAAACGCATTCAAAGAATACTTTTCATCATCACGGTGAGAAAGTTGAACCTTAATTAGCATAAAATAATATCAAAGAACAAAAAAATTAAATCTAGAAGAAATCAAAATTGTTATATAATCGAATAAAATTAAGATTAAACACATTTCGAGAATACACGATTAAAATTCAATGATAATGTAATCAAAATTCCAGGAACAATTTTGTACTATTTGATGGAGTATATGGTCACTCCCAAAATCCAAAATTTCCATTGGAAAAATTTTTTTGCTGGAAATCAAATCAAAAGAGTAAAAAAATTAAATTTGAAGCATAAAATTAATATGCGCAATTTCATGATTTAATCGATGGGAAACTAATTGACAAGTAAGACAAAACATACTTCTGCAGCTGAGCTGCTTAGTCGTTTATATACCAGTGCACGATTATTCGCTAATTGCGCTTGTCGACGAGAGTAGCGCCGATAATTCCGATCCCCTGCATCTCCACCATCAGTGGCATCAGCATTCACGATTACCACATCAGGTTGACTGTACGATCCCGGCAGAACTATTAAATGAAAGATTATTAGCATAACGAACTTGCAGAATTTTAAAACATTATTGTTCTCTGTTTCAAAATGTGGTCGAAACAAACGAATTGCAGTTCTTAAACTCTAATTATTTTAAGAGCAGCACAACTGATATCTACCAAAGTTTATGTTTGCCCACTTTTGCTGTTATAAAGAACAAACTGGGTTGAAACTTTCGGACGTTAAAAGACGTTAAAAGATTACAGTCCTAAATTCCTGTTCAAATTGATCGGTAATTTACACATTCATATGTCAGCAGAGTTATGTTATTAAATCTGCATATCTCACAGTGGATAAATAAACTTTCGGTATTATGTAAGAAGCAATATTTTCATCGACTAATAAGCTCAGCTCGACGAAATAGACGTTAATTGATCGATCAATAATTGACCAATCAATGCTTCATTCCTTCTCATCTTTCATCCCCCTATGCTCTTAGCCCTACTTATATACTGATATTTTAACAGATCAAATACCTAACTACAATATAATAATCCATAGCAAGAGTCCCCTTACCTAATCATATTATAATTCTTCAATTTCCTCACTATTTTTAAAAATAGCGAATTTATTGATCCAGACATAAAACGAAAAAAAAAATGCTACTTTTCTCTCACTAATTATCCGATCGAAGTAAAAGGAAAGGAATATAGCAAGGGAAGTAAACGATCTTAATTAATAGCAAAAGAAAAACTATTTTTCATTAGGCTTAAAGCTTTCTCCTCCATTTATGGCAATTTACACAGATATAGGAAAAAGGGAAGCAATAAGTTATTTATATCAAATAAATCACACTGCACATTTGCAAGATTAATTTCAAACTATAAAGACTAATATTCGATTAATGAATCAATAGGTAAATAGGTACAAATTGCACAACTGTGTTATGTGATATATTTTATTGGTTATTTTCTTTCGAGTTAAGAATAATCATTTCTGAGCAGTAATCTGTGTTAAGTAAATTGAAAATATGATATGTTAAGATTGAAATAAAATTAGAAATCATAAAAAATTTGAATTCATGCAAATACCAAAACATAAGAGATATTTGCCAGAAAACTATGGGACAATCGAAGACATAAATCTTTACAGCCACGAACAGCAAAAATCCAATGCGGCTAAAAGAAATGAGAAGATAGTTTAATAAGTAGGCAGAAGATTGGGATAACATCTTGTTGAAGGACAATAAACAATAGGAGAAATGGCTTAAGAAAGACAGAAAATTTATATTAAAGTAAAAAAAGGCAGAAATGGATGTGCAAAAATCATGTCGATCATGAATGGAATTACTAATTCCCCTGGAATACAATCTAAACAATGCATTTATAAAGCGAAAATTTGATTAGCTCAAAAGTATCCAAAATTATTGAATGATTTAAAACGAGAAAGATGCAAACAGGAAATTTATAAAGTGAACAATAAAAGATATTCAGCGTTTATGCCTGATCTGGTATGTATTAATATTGGCGTGCTTCTCGTCTCTTGTTTAAAATTGAATACTACTGTTAATTTTATAAGTATTGAAAAGTTCATAATTATTATAAGTTCATCAATTCTTAGATTCACAATATATTCCTTGTACAATTTAGATGTACTGATTACACAATTATTTGGAGCTCTTAAATAGATACACGAACAGTAAAAAATGACTCCGTACATAAGATAAATGGAATTTTAGATGAAAATCCAGTTGAACTAATCATTAAAAAATTTACAATTAGAAGATCATTTATAGCATCTGAATGCATATTTTTTTATAAGCCATAAGTAAAGAAAGACAAGAACATGATTTAATATGCGACGAAAAAAAATGTAAAACTGATGTAACTCACATTTAGATATAAATATTGCACTACTAACTGCAGTTAGCACGAATACAAAAAATATAAAAAAATGAAACATAGAAAAATGCTTCTGTTAAAATTGAACTGTCCATACAGATAACAAAATCAGAGATGCAACTGATCAATAAAAAATTGATTGTGAAGTACTTGAAAAGGCAATTTGAAACACACTTTAAAATGTAGGAAGATTTATTTGCTGAGGTTAAAGTATTCTCAAATCGATTTGAAAAGAAAATAAAGCCAAGGAATAAGAATTGAAGCAGAGACAATCGTCAGTAAAGTAAATGCAATTTGTTTGAGCGAGTGAATGTTGCATAATCAATAGAAATGACAGTTGTAATTGCTATATTTGACTTTCACACAGCAGTCATTAATAAACAAGCGGAAGTTTGAGCATTATCATCAAAAGAAAACCTAAAATACAATCAGAAAATCACCTATAACTTGAATAGAGTAGTCCGTATGATATCAAGTTCCATTAAGCTGGCTATAAATTATGTCTATACTCACATCAACAGATGGGTTAATAACCATACTGAAGGAAAAGAATTGATTTTCATTGCTTACCGTCCATTTAGTCTTTCAGACAAGAAAATAAAACCAAACTTATTTTAAAAAAATAAAAATATACTTTTTTCCATAACCAGTAGAATTAATGCAAATGAAACAATAAGCAGTTATTATGTTAGAATTAAGCTAACACGTCACAAAAACATAATTCCATCCTACTCGTGCATAACTGTTATTTCTGCATTCGCAAGTTGAAATTGAAAAAGGGAAGAGCGATGGTAAGAACTGAAATAAAAAACGACTGCTGAGATTTATATGGCAATGACGAAGCTAGGACCAGCAGCTCCTCTAAAAATCGCGATTTTCCAAATCGCATAATTCCAAATCCAAAACTCTCGAAGCCTGAGTATTTCTCAGATGATTTGACAGTGATTGGTGTTCATTCGCAAATGCGGTGGTAATTTGGCTATTTGATGGCCGCAAGACCAATTTTTCGTTTTTGGATATCAGTTCATCGTCAGCGATCGTTGCAACAGTGATATGTTGAGGCCCAGTTCCGAAAAATGTCCGTTTACAATCGGGTGTCATCTTGTACGGATAACCGCTGGTTCGTTGCTGGGGTTGTAGACTTGTTGTTGATGTTAACAGACTGGGTTCAAGTTCATTACTATCTAGAGTGGTATCAAGAGAAAGACAATGCTTCCCAACAGGACAATGCAGTGATTTTACATCGCCATTACTATCAATTTTTCTTGTTTCTCCCCTATTTCCTATGCAATCAATTCTATTAGTAGCCCAAATTGAAACATTTTCGATCATATTTTGGAGATATTGCTGTTGATGATGATCGGAGTGCCTACCACAGTTGGAGCTAACGTGGTCGACTGCTGCAATGGTACTCATCGAATAACTTCCAGCACATCGGGCAGCCATAATCGAATAGGTACTGGGCGGTGGTACTGGCCAATCGTGTACATCTAAAAGAAAAAATAAGCCAGACAGAAGAACAACGTTCCAAAATATAAAACGTTCAGAAAATCAAGTTAAATAGAAGAATATCCATTAAAAAATTGTGGTAGAAAATCCCAAAAGCATTTGCAAACAAAATCCCCGTAAATTGGTGCAGGAAATTATCTACTGATGCAGTAAGTGAGCAAATCCAACCAACCATAAGTTTTCTTAATAAGGCTTACAATGATTATCAATAACCTGATCGAAATATCCCATGAAGAAAAAATCGATGATTTTTTTATGAAATGGGTAAATTTAGTAGTGTATGACTGTCACATTTTTAGAAAACCTATTTAAATCCAAAAGTACCAAAAGTACACAGTTATGTACTTAATGCGTTAACAAGCAAGACGTCAATGTCAATTGGTGTTAAATCAATTTAAATGCAAGCCTTGAAGTTTAGCAATTAAGTGTTGAAGATACTGGTAATTCTAACACGCAAACGCTTCAGAACACCATGTAAAGAAAACTAATGGAAAAAAAATTAAAGCAAATCCAATACAGGTTAAAAAAAATCCAAATAAATCTCTTAAATGTTCCATCACACTTTTTTATAAGAATAATGAAGATATGATATGGCCATCTTTTTGGCTAATTTAAGCTTCTTCGTTATAGAAAGGCTTCTTTTAGATATTTTAGTTAGATCATTTTTATATCTTATCTCTAAGAATAGAATAAATCGCATACGACAATCATGACCATCCCTCCCTTCTCTTCGCATCCATACTCATGATACAGAGAACTTACAAAACTAGCGTCAAACTTACTATTACATAGATGAATAATTTGCCTGTTGTTAGCAATAGTTGCTTACCATAAAAGGAACCACATTTAATTCCGAATAGAGAATTTCTCTTTATCTCGAAATCAGTTTTGGTTTGATCTAACAGTCTTGAATGTTATCAAGATGTTTCTGAACTTTTAAATGGAAGATAATTCCATCAACTCAAAAAAAAAATTGAATTTTTAATTGATAATCAAAAAAATCTTTTAGTAATAAAACAATATCTTCCCATTTAAAACGCTAAGCTGACGAAGCTAAAATAACTTACTAGCTGGTGTAACGAACCGCAGTCGCGAATCATTTTCATCAAGTCGTAATGTTCTTCCAGTTATACGAGCGTAAAATTCGTAACTTTCTTGTGGAAATAGATTTGCATAACCAAAATTTTCAATAATTCTTGAGATGATCTCAGATGCAATTTTGAATCGTATCACGTCTTCTATCTTCGCCTTAAAAAAATGCGCAAATTATTTCGCAAATTCAAAAGCAGAATTCGTTAAAGTAACTGATAAGAAGATGTAATTTGTAAGAATTTCACTTTCGCAAGATAGCAACGCAGCTGCATTTCTACTATCATTAAAAAAAACATTCCAATGAATAACACTATTCCTGTTAAGAGGAGAATTATAATGCAACATAAGATTTGGAATCTAACACAATCAATATAATAATAAATATGTCCATCCACATTACGGCTTCCAATTACCTGTATATAACATCGGAAGCCATAAAAGAAAAAAAAACATACGAACCCGCTGCCCGTCATGAATACATGAATGAAAAAGTGAGGGCGCTACAGAAATTCCAAGAGCTTCCGTTGTCATCCTTGAACCAAATGAATCGGCTGATTCTGAGATCATATAAAAAGTGCCAAAAAGCAGTACAAGTAAATGTTGCGATGGAGTCGGTAAACTGCTTAATACTCTAAAATTGCTATTCACTTTTTTCACTTTAATAACCGGATTTCAACATAGGAAAAATGGAAAAGAAGCATACTTCTACAAAGATTACAATGACAGAAAAACTGAATATCAGTTAATGGCAAGAAATATATTTTGTAAGCAAACTAGTTGATTCTGCAATAATCCGACAGTGACAACCCTCTCAAAGTGAAAGAACAATCAATTTTTTGGTAAAATAAGGCAAGACAAACTTAAAAAACATTCCATGAAAAAATAAGCGATCAGTAAACGTCACACAGATTACTCAATATTAAATAAAACTCACCGACAAAACGACTGTCTCTGCATTTCTAGATCTGATGATACATTATACAAATCAAAAAGTTTCTGCTCATTTTCGAGACCAAATATGCCACCAGGCAATTTCGATAAAAACTTCTAAAACACAAAAACTGAAAAGAATTAGGAAAAAAGACATATTCAACAATATAAAAAAGTGATTAATCAAGCAGCTTATTGAATAAGTTCAAGTAGCTTATTGAAGCTTACAGCTCATATCAAGCAGTCATAATTCTGTATGTTCCTCTTACACAGAATTAAAATGTATTCTGAATATATCCATAACTGAATCCAGATCTATGTCTATTATACGAACTCTAGATGAATTTATTTTTGAATTTATTTTGAACAGTTTCGGCCAAAACGTGATAAACTCACAAAACCAGAAGGGTAAAGGAGAAGCAAAGCCTGTAATAAAGACACTACAAGTACAGCCGCCAATAAAACGGCAGCTATTGACCTCGTGAACACTGATAAACAACAAGCACTGATATTAAGCAGCAATATAAAAGAATCGAAGAAATGAATCTTTTATAAATAGCACAAAAAATACTGTAGTTCACCTTAATAACAGATGCAGCAGTATAAACACTAAAATTAGCAATATTTACAAGTCTTCCGTGTTGCATGATATGTGAAAGCTTTCGTACTTGAGCTTGATTACCCGGTGCACGCCAGATATCCTTTTTAGCAGGGCCATCTTTATGTACTTTTAGCAGGAGTACCTGTAAAAGAAACTTAGGTGAAAAATTTTATTACTTAATCATTGAATAATAGGTGGCACACAGAAGTTCCTCTTATAGATGTTGACGACAAAAAAGGAGTTCAAAATCTTGAACAGCAAAAAATAAACCGCTGAAATACGAAAAGATCTAGTAATTTCTTTCTAATTCCGCCAAAATATATTTTCTGGCAAGTTTCACTAATGATATTCAAATGCAATAGACATATCCCAGTAAATGATTAAGGAGCCCTTGAGTAAGTTAACAACTCAATAGGAATAAATAAATTGACCCCCAATTCACTGAACATACCCTGAAACAAAAGCTGCAAAAATGAAATTTAATATTACTTACTAATAAAGTAGCGGGTATATCATGAACGAAGGCTTCCTCGATTGGGACTCCAAACTTGACTCTGAAACAATTTAAATCCGGTGAAGTACTGTAAATTAGGAATTAGTAAATATTTTCTTAAGTGAATATTCTCCGAATTTATTCGTAGAGAAATAAAAAATGATGACGATAAAAAACTGAGAGTTGTTTCTGAACGAATGCTACCGCTATCGAAAATTTAAACAGTTTATTTGCAAACCTTTATCACCCTCAAAATGTGAATAAAATAATGTTTTTAATCGTTTTAGATCATAAACATCAAAGTTGAGCAGTAACAATTTAAGAAATGAAAAAAATTTGGAGTTTGTTTTTCGGATTTTTAGCAGGGGAAAAAGAAAATGTAGAAAACTAAAGTAAAATGGTCATAATTTTGTTTCCTACATTGAATGATATAATTACCCTTGTTCTTTTGAATGATGCATATTCAACTTACAGCTTCTTAATAAATAACTCATTAGCACTATAAAGTTGTGTAAAAATTGATAGAAAATACTCTAACAACTAACAAATTCTAGGAAAACGAACAAAACTGACTTTTCAATTCGTCCTCGATACCTATGTTGCGGATCATTGTTATTGCCACAAATGACCATTGTGTAACCCAGTGTAGCCACAGTCATACCGCTTTCCTCCGCTTCTTTGCGGTATGTTACTAGTATCAGTTCTTCTGTTTCCCAGACCTGTCTTTCGATGTGCCAATGCAATCTCGTCACCACACGCAACAGTTACAATCTTTATCTTTCTATATTTCTAAGAGTAACAGCGCTAGCGCACTTATAATAAAAAATGCTTGCTTTAATATAATATCCTTCTCTTTATTTTGATATCAGATCAATCAGTTCACTAAAGTAGTAAAACAATCGGCGGTATGAAATTCGCTGATGGTATTCAAATCAAATCAGCGAATGATAGAACACCATTCAATAGAATATAAATACAGACAATAAGCAATGAAAATGCTGTTTTCGAGTAATAATATGTTATTGCCAACCTCCCCTTATTCGAATATCTGAAATTTGATCAGTAAAATTTAAATTTTATGCAAATAAGATAGACTGAGAAAATGATGGGTAATGCAAACAATGGAGATAAAATCGCGCTGAACGAAAAGATAAAATTCCCGGTTTATCAAGCATAATGATATATTTAATCACAAACTGCTAAATACTCTTGTGAGTAAAAAGATATTACATAAATCAAAGATATCCCAATGAACAAACATTACAGAAATATTTAATATGTCATTTAAAGCAGCAAAAACGCGAAAATTATCAACAAATGTAAATTATGCAATTCCCAGTTGTGCAAATTTCTGTAGAATATACGTGATATTAACATATAACACTATAGATTTTATTATTTTTTTAATGCATATTTCACAATATTTCATTATATTACCCCTTTAATATAGAAATAGTAGCATCAATTAAACAACTAATTACCATATACTTACTTTCTTGAATCACAAAAAATTGTACTACACTTTTATCTACTAGTGAATAATATATAACATTATTACACCAGACTTATTATTCCATAAACTATACTTCCAACCGAAATTAAAGTTACTAATAATTATTAATACATCTTCTCCGTATGTCGTATATGAATTTTAGAGAGTAAATTGTTCAGATTCGATGGGGGTATTGAACGATTATTAAGTAACTGCAATGTTTTTACTGTAGCGACGGGTTGATGCAGTATTGTTGGTGTTGATTAATTAGCCGTTATATGCAGTTTCTAAAAAGTCATCTGACTTTATTGAACCAGATGCACTGGTCATCACAGATGGACATGCTACACGATGAGAATGTATTAATTGCACTTTTATACATGGTAATACTTTTCTTAATTGCACTTGTATATACGACAAAATATTATTTATAAATATAAATATAGAAAGGCCAATAAATCTTCCCCTCTGATTTTTTCATTCTCACTTCATCAACCGTAGAAATAACCAATAATAAAACCATATAGGATAATTGTATGAAATGAAATGAAATAAAATTGAAACCTATTCATGAATTGTAAAGGATTACAAAGGTAAAGAAAGAGTAAGTCTGTTAGCTTAGAACTATTTTTATAAATAATGGATGACTTTTACAGATTACGCTTAGTAATGCGCATCTATTCCCATATTTCTCAACAAATAGGTTCATTTATTTCTTTCACTTACTCAATATTAGAATTGATATTTGCAGAATATAAGTAAATAATTGATGAAGTTATGAATATGGATAATGCATTAATCAAAGAGAGAGGAAGAGAGAAGAGAAGGGAAAATTTATTGACACTAATTGACATTATTTTACACTAATTGACATTATTTTATTGACATCCGAACATGTATAATGCCTAAATTTTTCTTTTTTGGTGTTTCAAGAACACATAGCAATTAAAGTCTTTGATGATTAGCGTAAACCTTCTTTCAGGCACTATGTTTCACTATTTCAATTTCATTCTGACAATCAGTACTAATTATAACTAAAAATGATACAAATAATGGTTATAATGAGGATAATTGTCGAGTAGAAAAGTAATGATAGCTATAGTGACAGTTATCAATAATGATAATAGAGTGATAGCGATGATAACGATAACGAAAAGGACCATCTTTTCACTCAACAGTGATCCTCGTCATCAACGATGAGATTAAAAGGAAGTGCATAATTTTTTGCATATCTTATCCAATATTTTATAAATGCGTAAATTGAGCTTATGATCTACGAAGAACCGATAATTTTACAATATTAAAATAAATGAAAAAATTTAAACCAAATCGACACAGTTTCATGTATTTTCGAAGTTCTATTTCTTCTGTTTTGAAATTACTGCATGAATGAAGGTTCAGTTGAATTCAACAGAAGGCATTTTGACAAGTAAAAAGAAAATAATGAATAGTGATAACAATATTTAACAAAAGAATGATAATAGTGATAACAATAAGTGGTTTTGGAAGCAATAACACTATTAATGATAGATAATAGATAGAGTAAATAATGATAGAGTAAATAGATATATTCTGTTTACCTCTTATTTTTCTCGATGATCATAATACTAATGTTAAATGATGACATACAGAATATGTTATCTTGATTAAAAGATTTAAAAGTTATTAAAAGAAATGTGAAAGATGATGAAAAGGATAGATATTTCAAAACTATTATAAAATCGAGGGTGGGAAATAATGATTGAACAAATTGAATTCAATTCATTTTTTAGAATTGAACATTATGCTGCCTTATATAACAAAAAAGATTTAAACGATTTGAAGTTATAATTTTAATTAATTTACTTTTTCATATTAGCTATTAACTTTTCTTTCTGTATAATAAGCTAAAATTTCATAGTTGCAGGAATAATAAGTAATAATGCTAATAACAATACTAATGATGAATAATAATAATATCAATAAGTGACAGTAATGAATAATAATAACAGTGATAAAATAATAATTAATAAATAATAATTAATAAATAATAAGTAATAAATAATAATAAATGATAATAAAAATAACAATGAAAATCAAAACAATGATTTTGAGCAGCGAATAACTATGATATGAAGAAGAAAAGATTGATGCAAATTTTACGAAAATCGGAATCGAGATATTTTTGTTAAAGTCTTTAAATTAGAAGTCTTAAGTTACAGGTAAAAATCTATGTCAGATATATATTGAAAGTTTTTTATGACGACAAATACTTCATTTCAAAATATCATTTGATAGTTTTGATCAATTCATTTATGAAATGCTTAAACATAATCTTTTCAGAAAGTTTATATAATATTTCTGGAAGATGCAAAAATATTCATGCGTATTAATCAATTACTTTCAATCATCAAAAATTTGTGAAAAACTTTTTGTGATAATTTTAAATAAAGATTAATCATCTTGAAGAAATGATAAGATAGAATAATTAATTAATGTCATCAAATATTGACTAAAATTTACTTAAAAATAATAGCTATGTTATTTTTCGCAATTTTAAATAAATGAAGTCAGCACGATAAAAGTTAAGCTAAATGATTCATTAAATTAAATAAGTACGGAGTAATGAGTGATAAGATAGAAATAGTCACTAATATCATCAGTTAAATTATATAATGCTACAGAGAGATATTTTAATCCGATAGTGATAAGAAGGAATAAAATGTAATTGAGAATTTATACGTGAAAATTCCTTCCAAGTCATTTTATGAATAATATATTGATGACGAATAATTTGATAAGGAAATAAAATTACGATATTCTTGTTATCAATGATTTCTTCTGATCGATAAACGGACAATTTTTAAGCACTAGAAAATTGCTAAGAATTATGGAATAAATTCGAATAGTGCATTTAGTTAGCGGAAATAGAAATAAAGAATTTCAATTAATTTTATTTCAATCAAAGTCTATTTTTACAACTCTTCAATTTCTAAATCCTGAATAAAATTAAAATTTGCTAAAGGGATAGCATGAATGAAATAAATGAAACCTAAGCTTTATGCAGGCTTTTTCATAAAAAAAAAATGAATTCAATGAAAAGGAAACGAATTATTTCTTCATCTGGCAACAACGATTACAGACAGACACTCTAACAATTCTTTTTTTAAATAAAATTTAAAATTCAAAATTTCATTATTTATTAAAATAAAAAGTTCCATTTTTCTTTGCACGAATGGATAAATGAATTTTTGCAGAAAATTATTTTGCAAAAAATGAAAAGCAAAATTTATTCATACATTTCGTAAAAACTTCAAACATTCTTCTCATTCACAAAAATACCAATTCATTAAACAATAGGAAATGATAATAATTGAAAAGGTTAAAGGTTAGCCAAAAGTATGTTTTTGATAGAAAAATAAAAATTTGCTTGAATTATAAAATTTTTTAATTTAAAAATTGCTGATGTAAATTTTAGAGATTTGCGAAGGGAAAATGATAGATACGCCTAAAATTGCTCTATCTGCCTTTGAAGGAAAAATGGTTAAAATGGTTAGGAGAAATTTTAGGTGGTAAGATAAATAGGAGAAATTTGAAATCCGGAAAGCGGATACAATCATCAAATGGTTAATCTATAACAATTTTTAATCATACCATTCATTTTGCATAGATAGAAGGAAAAAAAGTAAATTACGAAAAAGGAAATTGTATATCCATTCTTGCAATGATGGATGGATGAAATTGCCTTCCATATGATAGATTTAAAATTTTAAATTTACGCAAAAATGTCACTATAAAATCTATTCTTGTTTTTCGTGCCAAATTAAGAAGAAAACGAGAAAGAGAGAGAGAGAGAGAGGAAGGGAAAGAAAGAAAGAAAGAAAGAAAGAAATTTCAATTTGTTGATGAACTGAAAATTTTCTCTCAATCGGATATTTCGTATTTTAATAGTTTCTTTTATTATAAAATTCGACAACAACAGCTAAAATTGCAGGTCACTGAATTGATTATTGATGACATTTTATGGAAACTTACAAATAATCATGAAAATTACGAATGAATAACGAAAGAGAGAGAGGGAGAGAGAGAGAGAGAGAGAGAGGGGGAGAGAGGTATTCATCTATATGTCATTGGTGAATTATATATATATATATATATATATAAACTCACTAAATGACCTCGTTGCAC